TGTCTTCTGTTGTAAATACGGCAGGAAGCATTAACCAGATGGTAAACCCTCACCTGATGAAAAAAAGCCTTTATATTTTAAAAAAAAAAAAAAAACCTCAAACCCCAAGATTGTCTCCAATAGCTAAATGCAAAATTTTAAAAGGGCGTTTTTCCAGTTTCAACTCCATAGATAACTGACGTAAGTGTTCTCACACTATGATACACATGATACATCTACCTCCAGCATGATTTATCACAATCTGAAGATGGTGGAATTTGAAGTCCCAGTCCCGGATGGTTTTACTTAGTAGATTATGGTGGTCCTGCTGGTTTTTTGAGCCTGGCAAGGCGTTTACAAAGCCGTTAGTGGCCCATCAAAAATGTAAAGGTTTGCTGCCCCCAACAACTTACTTGAGGATAGCTTGGAGATTCTTTACTCTGAGAACTTGAAGCTGTAGTGTTAAAGCTTTGGCATGGTACCTTTTTCTTGTTAAGAGACCGACATCCTCATGTGGTTATAATTTCTTTTTTTCCACAGAAACTTCTTGATACAAGGGCCTTTGAAATGCTAGGGTGAGACCCAGCAAGAGGTGCAGGCAAACAAGAAATGGTTGAAGTAGAGAATGACTTATTAAAATGTGTAGTTCATTTTATTGATCTGCAGTTTAGTACTTCATCTCTCTAATTCTTTGAATGTCAAATTACATTGATAAAGATAGCATGTGTTTTGTGTCTGTAGCATTATTCTTATGACTTGGTTTTCTTTTAATTGTGATTTTGTTTGTGGGGTCAGAATATGTGTCCAGAACTGCGTAGTGATTTACCCAGTGAGAATGGGATTTTCATGTACGATTACCTCCTTTTTATTTGTGCATTTATGAATCCTTTTTTTTTTCAGAAATTCTTGTATAGCTGCTAATGCTGCTCAAATTGCCATGGTTTTTAGAGAGAATAATGCTTATTGATAGTTCCCGCATACACTGGCAGGCACATCTAAAACCTGTACTTTTGTGTTCGCAGCTTGCATAATATAAAATTTAGAGATTGCTTGTCAAACTAAGTGTCAGCTGAGTTTCCTAGGAAACTCACTAAAGATATTTATAAAACTACAGATCAGCTTAATAATAGATATAATAATGTCAGTAGCTCGTGATTGTATTTTTTACTTTATCGGTCCATTTTTCTTTGCTTTAATTTGTTAGCAAACCAAACTATTACATTTACAAACATGTATGTGTTGTTCAACGTCAGGAAATGTGCAACACCCTACTGTAAAATTAAAAGCATATAAAAGAATCCGAATGTCATGCTAATTATCAGACTGAATCTTTCATAAATAAAACTGCAGTTGTGAAAGTAGAAGTATAAATATTATATAGTATGTTACAATTCTATTCACAGTTGAGTTGAATGTGTGAGTTTTAAGTTCATTGCACATGCATGCAAAACAGTTGCTGCAGAATTAACACGATCCTGAGTAAAGATTTTTATAGAGTATGCATAAATGGAAGATTTGTAAATATTGTAAAAAGGCATAATTCTGTGAAAATAAATTTATCACTGAGCTGAAAGAGCATGGGCTAAAGAGTAACTGATGCTGTGATGTCCATTTTTATTCATTCTTCCAGTATTGTTTTTTCCTGATACTGATTCTTGGAATGGACTGTAAGAATTGCCACAGTAGGGAGGAGTCTTCATATTTTAAGGACTTGAAATTTAGGGGTTTTGTCCTGTAAACTTAAAATTTGCTGGTTATATATATATGTATATACACGTAGGATGTGTGTGTGTATGTGTGTGTATGTATGTATACAAACATATGTTACACTAGAACATATTTAATAGAGGCATTTAGGATTAGTGGAAATGAATGTTCTTTAGAAAGGAATTTAGAAAAGCAATTCCACTTTCCGCATCTTAGTACTGTAATAAGAATGACGTTAGTGCGTTTAGTAATGAGGCAATACTAACTCTTTATCTCATCTGGAATCCATTACTTGTACCTGCTATGTACATTTGCCCGTCAGAGCTGGGGTTTGTTGCTGTAAGGAGCTTATATGAAGGATAATCAAGAACTGATTTTCTTTCTAAAAAGTTAGAGTTTAGCTTTTTATGTTTCAGTATCTAGAAAAATCAGTGCAGGTTTAATGTAGTTACAAAAGAAATCTTGGGAAACCTGACCATCACACACTGAAAAGGTTACTTTTCTGTAAAGCTACAAAATTTAGCCAAACTCTAACAGTAGTTATATGTTGATTTTTTCATGCTAACTATGTCATTGCTACTTGATACAGTGGGATGACAGTTAAAACCTTATAAATCACTGCATGGCCTGCAACCTTAAAAGCATAAAATATTACAGCTATTTCAACAGATATTATAAGGTATGTGTTATTTAACAGAGCTCTGTCTTTTAACTATGGTGTTCCAGTTCATTACATTTGAAATGTATTCTTTTACTTATCCAAGGGTGACAGTTTCTAAGTGGAGGACAAGTTGGGCCAGTACACAGGACGTCAGAGAGCTGATTAGGAGACTTGCTTTATTCCCAACCCTGCCATGGATTATTTGTTGTGCAACTCTGAATCAGTCACTTTTCTGTTCCTTGCCATAATATACCTGTTAGTTTGCAAATGCCAACAATCAGTAATCTCACTGAAGTGCTTGAATAGGCATGAAAGATCTGTATTAGCGCTCAACTTTGTGACATTAAAATCATTTCCGATCAGTTCTGCCAATGTGACCTTGGTATTGGCGAATGAAGAAGCACCATCTCTGGTTTATGCCATCGCCAGTAGCAGTGCTTCTGCAAGAAAAAACGCTGGTTCACTTTGTCTTGTGCGGTTTGCAATGGCGTCATGTTTGTGCACAGGTACTCGTGTCCGTAGTGGTAGCCAGGACCCTCTTTTGCGTCAGCGTGCTGTTTAGAAGCGTTTTCTCCCCTGCGCTGGTTTGCACTGATCATTTATTTTGCATTTATTATTGTTAACTGCTTGTTACCCGCTATTGCGTGGCCCAGCCCTGCTTGCTAGCTCTCGCGGAGGGAAGCTCCTGCCCGGTTTCCCCAGCCCTGTTTAATCTGCTCCTGCCGCCCCCTTATTGCTCCGCGGTGGTAGCGCAGGCCCTGCCGCCGACCTGGATCTGCCGCCCTGCTAACCTTTTATCGTGAGGAAAAGTGACTGTCGTTGAGCCCATAAAAGCAAACCACTAGGAAAACTGGGGAACGGACACAGAAATACGAGAGTTCTGCTTGAACAGCCGGGTTGAGGAAAATTGCTCCTTGTATAGGAAGAGATTCTGCTTGGAGGCATTTTGGGGTTTGTTTTTTCGTCTTTTTTCATCTACAAGTGTAAGATGAAAGCTCTGCTAATGGTAGATATGCCGGTTAAAAATACATCTCTCCACTGCTGTATCTGTGTTAAATGCAGAGATCACAGAAGTAAGACTTTGCTCAATGTGATGAAAATCAACTGAGCAGAAGGTTCTGTTTGAATACAGCTACTTTCTAATGATTACTGTGGTTAAACGTAAAGATGCGCTTTTATATTTTTCTGTAAGTTTATGGTTGCTTTTTGGGGAGGAGGAGGTGTTGGTAAAGATTAATTTTGGGGGGGATCATTCTGGATAATTTTGTAGCGAGATGCCCCATGTGTCGCAGCAACCAGTGATATTTTAAGTGTGGTATTTAGACATCACACCTTGGTAAAAGAAAAAATGTATATTTTAACTGCAGATACTGGATTTTTCCCCCGTTACAACAATAGAGCTTCAAAAAGGAAAAAAGTGGAAATAAATATATATACAGCGTATTTTCCTTGCATTTCAGTTCGCATCCGTGGGAAAGTACTATGAGAATTCCAGACAGGCTTTTAGGGGGGTATTTTTTCAACTGGTCAGTGTGTGTGACCCCTGTGTTAACAGTGAGTCACATTGCAAGTCAAGAGTTCACCATTTTGTCTTCTTTCCCACTGCAGTTGAATAGATTCCACATGTACACCCTTAAATACTAGTAAAAATGGGAAAACTTGCCCGCTGATAAAGAGATCTTGGTATTACTGTAGCAGGATGAATCAGCCAGTGGGGTATTCATTGCCAAATACCAAACAACAGTGCAAAAGGCAAGAAAGCTTCTAAGCCGTACAGGCAGGCCAAGAAAATGAGCCATCTGGGCTCAAACAAAATCTAGGAAATGGGTGAAAGTGAGGGTGGAGAACCTGCCTAATTTAACTATACATGTAAAATTACATTTTTATATCCTTATTGCTGCTGTTCTAACATGTTCTAGTTAAGCTTGAAACGGTTTCTAAAATAATCAGTGAATGTGACCTCCCTTTTCTTCTGCTTCCTTGGCTCTTTTTTGCAGTTTTAAGTCTTTGTTTACCTTATGCATTTCACTCACTCTTGACAGTGTGAAGAGTCAGACTGCTTAACCACCATTTCATGACAGTTTTGTTTTCCAGTTCTTATGCTTTTAGTTGCAGTGTTAAGAGGGCAGCTTTTCAGGACATATTTGTACATATTAATAGGTCTTATATTATATTTGTTTATATCAGTAAGCTACATTATTAAGACCATAACTGACACTAATGTTATGCATTGTGCTAAATAAAGGAAACTCTTTTTCCCATTTTCTTCTTTAAACTCAAAAATACTACTTTTATCTAAAGAACCTCAAACTGTTATAAGACGCATGGATAGCCTCAGGATTTTTTTAGTGGACCTCACAAAATGCTAATATTTCATTGCATTTGAACAGCTTGTGGGTACTGTAAGTGTGCAAGCACTATATTGAAACAAAATCTGGGTAAAATTGGTTTGGCTTGGAAAATACAAACTCAATCAGGGTAGGTTAATCAGTGTAGGCACCTACAATCAATGTAGGTAAATTGTTGGGCTGATGCCTTTACCATTTGACTTCTATTTTACTTTGCAGCTGGAACCTGAACCAGAAACAATAGTGAAAATGATTATACTAGATGGGATCTTATGTATCTAAGTGCGTGTTTATTTTTCTTATAGCTTTTTAGAACGAATCGACAGTGTCAGCATGGATGACTACACACCTACAGATCAGGTTAGTGCAACAAATGGGAGAGGGTCTGAACCACAACAGCCATTTATATGGATTCTTTATGTAATTTGTTTTAGTCCCAGCAGCAGCTGAAATATGGCATACCACATAATTGCAAAATACAGTCTAGCAGTTGAAGTAATGGATATTAAAGAAGAAGAGGCTTTTCAGTGATGCAAGCTTGTCTTTGAATGTCAGTTTATCTAGGTCGGTGATTCCTGCAATGCATCTGTTATTCCTTCTCGCTTTCCATTCCGTATCTCGCAAAGGAAGCAAACACAAAACATAAAAGCATATAGTTTCCAACACCAGCCTTCACTTCATAGGAATAATGTTTCATCTGAGCTGTGGCGTGATGGAGACCAGGAGAGGCTCTCCTGCGTCCGTCCCCCGCAGCAGCACCACAAGCCGGCATGCAGGGATTCAGGAGGGAGCATCCGTGGCAGCACCATGCCTCATGGACGTGTCTATGGGCATGTAGACACCTTTTCCTGTCTTCTGTGGGCAGGATAGTTTCTGTTTAAGCCTTATTTACAGGACAGTATACTCTGCTTTCCTTTTCACGCTGGGACATTGCTGGAGCACACACGTTCACAATGTTTGCAAAGACTTTTGGCCACTGATCTACAAAATCTTGATGGTTAGTCACGTGGGTTTTTTTCCAGGTGTCTTGATACTTCTGTTCAGTGCTTTGAGGACAATGCATTTGAGAAAGTTAAAGCTGAAATGGGACAGCCAGGGAGTAAGAAAGGGCTCCAACACAAAGAGTAGCATTGACTGGCGTCCCCGATCTCTTTGGGCAGGTTCTCTCCCTGCCAGACTGAGTCCGAGGTTATTGTTTTTCAGTGCTGGCATCCCACCATTGACTCTACGAGACTGTGGGCCACATTGTGATAGACTACAAATACACAAAGTAGTAAAAGAGAAAACCAGCACTGGATAATTCAGTCTAAATATGCAAGGTATTTAATGGATGAATGCTTTTTAAAAATACAAAAAAAAATACAATTGTCACATCTCATTTTATGAACAGAGACTGAAATTCAGAGAAATAAAGTGACTTGCCAGAGATTACACAGGGAGTCCGTGGAGCGGGACCCATACCTCCAGACTCCCAGGTCTGCCTCAGGTTCACGCCTCTGACCATGAGCCTATCCAATTACTCTGACAGCGCATCCCAGAACAGAAGGCAATATTGTGTTGTGTTATAAGGTGAAACTCATATAGTTCTCCCAAAACAGAATAAATTATTAAAGCCCTCAAGACGTTTTCAAACAAAAGTAGTTGCGCTGAGGTTTACTCCATCTTAGAACTCATGATGTGATCTTAGCATCAAATTTCTCCACTCTGGTGAAGAGAGAAGTCAATGAAGCAAAAACTTATTTTTGGTTCCATTTTTTATGTTAGTGTTTGCCTGTTCGATCTTGTGAAGCCTTTCTCTACCCTGAGCAGTAGTAGTAGTAGGTAGATTTGGCAGTGGCTCCATTATTTATCTGTCCAGAAATTTCTCCTAACATTTCGTTTGAGAAGTCCTATGCTTCCAAAGGCAAGAGGCCTTTGGTTTCAAGCAAGTAGAAAACTATTGGGCTAAAGGAGATTTTCTGGCTTGCTTTTGCGTTTTCATCCCCATTATATTACATCCATTTTTCTTGATGAATTAAACTGCTAAAAATCACTACTTTCCTTTTCTCCCTCCCGTTCTTTGATTTCCCTGGCAGCATCCCAAAATAATAACTAACTCCAGCAACGGAATAATTGGCAACAAGTAACAATAAATGACAGTAAAGTATAAAATAACTGAAATAACAGAACAGGCGGTCTGCGACTGCCAATGCAGCAAAGGTCTGCCAGCTAGCTACCGCAGTACTTCACCTGGGAGGCAGATATTCGGGTCAGGGGAAGAGGCGAGCAGAGCTCCTCTCCTTGGATTCTTGCCTGAGGCTCTCCTGTCTTTTTCCTCCTTCCCTTCCTGCTTTCCCAGCTCCTTGGTGACAAGAAGAGCTAAGCTAGACTGGCTGAGCTGGCAGTCCCCATGGACAGGGGACCACTTGCCGTGGCCCCCCCGCCCCCCATCAGTAAGCCAGCAGCTTTCTCCTCCTGTGGGTTTTGCATCCAATGCCGTAGTAACAGTGCTGAATATTCGTGGTTCAAAGCACTGATGACAGTGCACGGTGAGCTAGTTGCGTTAAGGTATGCAGAATAAATTGATTTTATGTTCTCCTTTTGAAGGTCTAGGAAACTGTAAATTTTATTGTTGTTGTTATTAAAATAATGTAACTGAAGCTGCAAAGTATTGCTAGTTTGAAAAATAGGAAAGAAATACCAGATACAACCTGAACTCTGTTCCCTTGTGCACTGTAATAGAGCTTTAATTACTTAGTCACAAGCTATTATTTTGATAGGATTCCTGTCTCGTTCAGTACAAAAGAGGGCAGAACTCAGGTTGCCTGAGCAACTGTAAATCTAGAGTTTTCTCACGTATAAATACTTGACTTTACATCAGGAATAGCATATTTTTCTTAGTTTTATGTAATTTTCAGCATTCGTTGTCCAAGTCACATACATACAAAATTATATGACCCTCAGTAACAGGTTTCAGTGTGTGCTAAGGAGAGTGTATATAGGACATTCCCCTGCTTTCAGACGATGCACAGGCCAAGTTCAGAGATGTCTGTGATGTTCTACCTTGTCAGTATGGACAAATACACGTTTACCAAAAAGTCTAGTTTCACTTTAATTAAACGGAGCATTTAAGACTTTCCATGTAAAACAATAGTCCATGCTTTTAAAAACAAAATTAGGATAGAAAAAGATCTCTCTAATCAGCTTCTATGTTTTCATTTCCAGGACCTATTAAGATGCAGAGTTTTGACATCAGGGATTTTTGAAACAAGATTTCAAGTAGATAAAGTAAATTTCCAGTAAGTCTGTTAGTAATAATTTATGATTCTCATACTAATTTCTAACTATTTAGTTCCGATGTCTGTGCTTGTTTATTGTGGGTATGGTAGGTTCTGGGGTGGGCTTGGGGGGTTCTTGGTGGGGGTTTGGGTTTTTCTTTTTTTAGTGCTCTCTGCTTAGGTCCCAGTATAATTATCTCGTACTTTGTAATAAAAGCTGATAGTAGTCATGTCCATTAGTGCTGCTCTACTGTGGGGTTGTCTGCGGCTGTTTTTACTAACTGGTTCATTGATACAGCACTGTAAACTCATAAAACGGTTCTGGGCATAAGATCTTGCAGAACTCAGGGAGAATCCTGCCATGAGTCAAAATTTGTACAAGGGGACGAAGGGAGTTCAATGTCTTCCTCCTCCTGGAGGGCTGCAGGCTCTGGGTTTTGAAATTTTTCGCTGTGTCCCTATTGAAGTGCACCCAGTCTGGCTAGCTCTACTCTCACTGGTCCTAAGACAAAAAAGTAGCAACGCGGATGGGGCAAGAATTGCCCCCTGAGTACTTCACCTTACAGATTTGCACTCTCTCCACCACGCTTGAAAATATGCTGAAACCTGGGCTTGTTTATAATACAGTAGATCCAACCGTACATGCAGTCTCTACAGACTGGAAAAGCCACCCCTTTTCCTGGAAAAGAGTGTTTCTCGTTTTGTGAATTCAGTAGTGTTCCCGGGGCAGAGCCGGGCCGGTAGATTTTCGCAGCTCGCTGCCAGGCAGTGCAGCGTCAGAAATTCTCCTTTCCCTTCAGGCAGCATTTTACTGCCGCTGTCCTTGGAGCTGTCAGGTTTTTAAACTGAGCCCTGATGCTGCATGCTTCGTGTGACTTTCCTAGTGCACATAAGTGATATAACATCCCATGGCTTTTTAACAGCATGTTTGATGTAGGTGGCCAGAGAGATGAGAGGAGAAAATGGATACAATGCTTTAACGGTGAGTAAAAATATTCCACGTTTTTATTTTGAACTTATTCTCTGCTGTGTGAGAAGCTTAGTATTCATATTGTTCTATTTATGCTGAGAACATGGTGTGTCACCGATGCAGAAATCCAATATTATGTAAATATTTTTTCCAGGTATTTATGGCAGTTTGGGG